CTGAAGCAGCCCCAAAACCCCAAAACCCCAAAACCCCGCTGATACTCAAGAATATAAAACTTATTGCCCATTATAAATCGGCATTATTAATTTATTTTTCCAAATCAATTCAGAATGGATCCTCAAGTAAAAGGAGCCTTGATCGGAGGTCTTGGCACTGCTTCAGCTCTCGGACTTACATATTTCATTAGGAAATCATTTAGCGCAAACAGCGTTACTGATAAGTAGGATACGAGACAAGACACAACGTCTTCTTAGCCATAAGCAACACCCCATCATCATAAAAAGGGTAAAAATGAGCTAGACAATGAAGCTGACGATTATATCGTGCTCCTTGGAGATGTCGGTGGTACAAATATAAGACTTATTCTCAGCCATATCTACTTAAGTGACAGAGATCACAGAGTAACTATTAAAGAGTAGACTGTCGATTCTAGAACTGTTTAGAGTTTTGAAGAGGCTGTAAAGAACTTTTTAAAGGTAAGGATACATAAATAAGCATATATTCTCTCATCAATTATGATTACGATTACATTTTCTAATTGCTTATTGAAACTCTTCATAGGAATTCGAGGATTCAAACTAATGGCCATCAGTTGGAGTAGTTGGTATTGCTGGTCCAGTTGATAACAATGTTTGTGAAGTTACAAATTGCACTCACTGGCCTCCAGTTGATGGTACTGCTCTTTCTTAATCCTGTAACATTCCAAGATTTATGCTCTTGAATGATTTCGCAGTAGCTGGATTGTATGATATATTATAATTTTCAATAATTTATAGAGGTATCTTGAACCTTAAGGAGATGGAATATACAAGACTAACTGATAGCTTACCATCTCATGAAGGAGTAAAGTTAGTCATTGGTCCTGGCACTGGACTTGGCCAAGGATTCTTGTGCAAGAGTGAATTCGCTCCGTATTATGAAGTATTTCCAAGTGAAGGTGGTCACTCTGAATTTTCAGTTAGAAACAAGGAAGATTTCGACTTGCTTGAACATGCTCATAAATTTATTGAGGAGTCAGATAATGTTGAAAATCTTAGAGCGAAGGGCAAGGTTAACAGAATCTCAATAGAAAGACTTTGTGCTGGTCCAGCTGTCCCTCTTATTTACGACTTTATGAGATAAAGACACCCTGAACTTAAGAAAGTCCTTGAGGATGAAGGTATTAACTTTAACTAATTAACCTCACATAACATCATCGATGCTGGAATCAAGAGAAAAGACCCTCTTTGCCTTAAAGTAGTTGACAAATTAGCTGAGATTTTCGGCTGTGAGACAGGCAATACAGCTTTGAAGCTATTACCTTACGGGGGTATCTACTTAATTGGAGGAGTTACTAACGGTATTACTGATTACCTTCTTCATTCTGATACATTCCTTAATGCATTCTATTAAAAAGGAAGATAAGAAAAGAAACTTAGGAAAATTCCAATCTTTATTGTCAAAGGTGATCTCTAAGTTGGTCTCATGGGAGCTGATGAGCAGGCTAGAAGATTGATCTATAAATTAAAGCAAGAGTCTAGATCAAACCAAATCCTTTGAAGGCAAGAATGAGCAAATTCAAAAATGCTTTCGAAGTCTCAATCTATTAGATTTATGAACTTATTAAAAATTTAGTATCAACTCTGTGAAAGTAAAATCAGATGGGGTTTTGGGGTTTTGGGGTTTTGGGG